TGCTGTGCATGATCAGTCCTTTAAAATCATTGCCTGTGTCCTGGTTCTCTGCTCGAGGAAAGGCAGATTTCCTTCCCTCTGCTGTATTCCATGGTACCAAAACCTGTCACTGTGATTTCTGAGAGGCACTACCTTGGAATCCCCAAATTCCTCATAGTTAGGTAGTTTCTGATTTCCTAATCTTTAGACACCATATGAGATAATGTCTACTGTTTTAAGCTAAATGTTTTGATACCTTGTTAGACAACAGAAAACCAATGCATTTCTCACTATCTCTAGGCTTGCTTGTTAGTTCCCTTTACACTGTCATTACATCTTAATTTATTGTATGTCCATGAGATCAAAAACTTTTTCCCTTTGGATTGCTTTTTTATCCCCAGCCTGCAAGAATGTTTGGAATGTAATAGGCAATCAATAAAAAATGAATGAGCAACAAGAGTCAAGCATTTTTAGTGTTAGGTTAAAATGTGTAATTTAAAATCAGTATACAGTGACCTAATTTTATGGCCATCTGTGTTTCTGATAGACCTTTGTGGAATTCAGCTCTATCCACTCTGATTCCTTTCCTATGTTGGCAGAGAGCTAAAATATCACTAGAATTGGTGTCAATGGTGATTGGACAATTGCTGGACACTAAACCCAAAATGAGACAATTTGGAATTAAAATCAGGAGAAAGAGAATCTCAGTGCGGCTGTCCCTCTGTGCCAATCTGTCCTTCAGTATCAAATAACAAGAATCTCAGGAGCTTTAACACTAATGGTTATTTCCTTTTCACAGTATAAATAACACTAATGGTTATTTCCTTTTCACAGTATGTATTCATCACAGGATGGTGAATAGACTGTAGATGGCAATAGCTACTCAAAGGATGACATAGACACAACCTTGAATGCTGCCATCACCTTGCCAAAGGAAAGTGTGAAGTTTCAAAGGAACTCATACAAATAACCAACTGCTCAGCCTGGAAGTAACACACCATTTTTCCTCATAATTCATTGGCCAGAATTTCTCACGTCTCTTACCCCCATTCACCCAACTAAAGGCAAGTTTAATCCTCCCACATGTCCCATAGGTAGAAAGTAGAAACTGTATGTAGAGCACTAAGGACTCCTCAGTCTAACAGCATAAATTGCATAAACTGTAACAGCCATATTCTTTCATGTAGCTTGTAGGTCAAACAATGATGAAATGGATGCCCAGAAAGAAATGAAGTCAAGATGACAGATAATTTTGCCTCCGCACCCAACTGTTTTTCAGATTTCATTTCCTCTTCATACTGAGGTATGGATGCATTATTGACCTTGAAGTGGAGATGAATAGTTTTGTGTAAACTATGTTAACTTTCTGATGTCTATTTGACTTTCAAGAGGAGATGTTGGGGAGGCTCATTGATCTAGGCACCTGGAACTCATGGGAGAGGACTGGATTTGAAATTCAGATTTGAGAGTTATCTGTCTATAGTTTAGTGCTATGGAACAGGATACAATAACCCAGGGAGAGATTTTAGATAGAAAAGAGGGTTAAATATGGTGCTTTAGTATACTAGCAAGCTAAGGTTAAATGAGAGAGGGGATAAGACAAATGCTGTAATTCTCTTTCACTGAATTCTCTGGCTGACTCCTTCTTGCCATTCAGGACTTCCCTCATAACACAATATAATTTAGCCAGTCTCTTTCACATTGATATTTAATTTTATTACTTATTTCTCATGTACATTTATTTGTCTTCTTACTTTTCAAGAAAGCAAAGATCTTTCTCTCTTATACCTGGCACTCAAAACAATACCTAGCATGAAGCTATAAGTATGTAAACAGTATACATGTATGTGTGCATGTATGTGTGTAGGTACATGACTAAATAAATGCTATGGTACAGGTCCATTTTTCAAGAAATTTTTCTGCAATATATTGAAAATGCTATAAGTCAAGATAATTACACATATTCTTAGGTACAAATTCCTAAAATCATTTTCTCTGACTACTATATAGGGTAGAGCCACTCAAAATGTGGTCTAATAATGATCACCAGCAGCAACATGTGAGATCTTATTTAAATTGCAAATTCTAGGCTCCACCCAAGACATACTGAATAAGAATTTCTACTTTAACAAACCCTCCAATGATGCACACTAAAATTTAAGAAGTACTGATAGAGATAATATTAAAAGAGATGGCTTCATTGGATTCTCCAGACCCTCAAATAAATTAATGCATGCACAATAATTTTAATAGTCTACTAAAGGACTACAGGAGCACATTTATAGGGCAATCCCTCTCTTAATGGGAACTGACTCACAGTTTCAGAGGTTTTAGTTCATGGTCAGCTGGCTCTATTGCCTTTAGACTGTGGTGAGGTAGAACATCATGATGGGGAGCAGGTGGTAGAGCAAAGTTTCTCACCTCATGGTGGCCAAGAAGTAGAGAGCTAGAAAGCAAGTGGCCAGGGTCAAAATATACCCTTCAAAGGCACACACCAGTGACATACTTCCTCCAACCAGGTCCCACTTCCTAATAGCCCATTCAGATATAAATTCATTAATGGATTAATTAATTAATGAGGTTAGCACTCTCATGATCCATTTACCTCTCAATTGCCCCACCTCTGAACACTGCTACAGGTGGGGAGAACCAAGCTTTCAACACATGAGCCTTTGTGGGGCATTTCGTATCCAAACCACAATACACTTGAAAGCTCTACAATACAGTTTACATATGCCAAATAGATTCTGTAGGCTTCACAGTGCACTTCACTCAGGTAAGCCTGGGGGCATCAGAGAAAGCCATTTGGAAGTGAATCTTGCATCATGTGCTGGAGTTAGTTAGAGGAGGGAGAGAGGGAGCAGTGGGAATGGAAGGGAGAACAGCAGCCTAAGCAGAGGGAATAACGTGTACAAAAGTATGAAAACTGAAAGAGAATGGCCATTCCAAAAATTAGCAAAGACAGAAGACAATTTTGGAGTACAATTTGGAGGTTATGGCAAATAGTTGATAAATACAGATATACATATAAATATATGCATGCATATATACATATACACATTTATGCAATATATACATATATGTACATATATGCAACTGACTGGCTCTGCAACTGACCTTGGGCAAGTTACTTAATTTCTCTGTGCATTTTACAGTATGGATAAATAGAGATAATAATACTGAGTGGCCATAAGGTCTAGAAAGATAGGGTTTTTGTTTTTTAATAGAACCCTTTTGGTAAATTGTTTCTGACAGAAGTTTAATAAAATCAGAGACATAAATCATTTGAAGCAGTATATTGCAGATGCATATGCAAGGATTAAAAGACATACTTCATGAGATTAGTGAACCACATTCATGGGAACTTTGTACACACATTGAATTGTATTGGTATGAGGGACACCACCTTGAACATACCATATAATGTCACTGTAATGTAATTGTATATATATCTATGTCTTCAAACTCTGTGACTTACTAATTTTTGTGAGGATTAAAAACGAATTTTATCACCCTGCTCCCCTACTATGCAACAGCTTACAGTGCATTATACTATCTTCATACACAGAAGCACTGCGTCTCAAAATTATTCACCATCATTTTCTTTTCTTCTCCCACTTCCCCATAGTGTCCCTTCAGACAGAACCCCCCCCATTACAATCATGCAGTCATGTTTTCTATGCATACATATACACATTTATCTTTTAGGTCTAGTGTCCACATATGAGGAGAAACTTTGTCTTTCTGAACCTGGATTACTTCACTTAACATGATGATTCCAGTTCCATCCATTTACCTGCAAACAACATAATTTCATTCTTTATGACTGAATAATACTCCATTGTAATAGAGGGGGTTAGTTGGATTAAAATACAATATATACATGTATGAAATATCAAGGCAAAATCCCCTTGAACAATCAATATATACTTAAAAAATGAAGGATGGGAGAAAGGTAAAACAGGTACTTTCCTGGTGTGGGTATCAGTGGGAGGGGAAAGGGTAAATGGAGAAGGTGAAAGAGGGAGAATGCGGTGGATGTACTTTGTATAGGTACATGAAAGTAGAACAATAAAGCCTGTTGAAACTGTTCTAAGAAGGGAGAAGGGGGATGAGGGAGAATGACGGAGGGGTAAATCTAACTAAGATATATTGTAAGCACACATGCAAATGTCACAATGAATCTCTCCTCAATAACTATTACATGCTAATAAATATATTTTTTAAAGTATTCATGAAAAGCACAATGAATAGTTTTTTTCCCCCTAAACTCATTAAAAGTTACCTATTATACTTAGGAAGTAGAACTGACCAAAAAAGGGACATGATGAAGGTTTACCAGTCTACTTCCAAAGGCTGAGTGGATGGTAGGGCCTATAACTGAGATGTTGAATACAAAAAAGCAAAGCTTCTTTTCTATTTGTAGGTGAGAATCACAGATGATTTGCCCATCTACTTGTCTGCCTCTCTTCCTGTCCATAAGACTGTCATACACAGTGAATTACATCTTTGGGCATATACACACGCTAGATACTGAGGCTACAATAGTCTCAACACATATGTAACCTTTGTCTTCACTGTATTCGGGTAAGTTCAAAATCTCTCTGAAACAAACACTTTCAGCATTATTCTAAAGTGTACAGTATGTGAGGCTGCTAAAGCTAATGAACAAAGTCAACTTAGAGTCAATTTTCTGTGTGCATAAGGAAGGGAAAAAACGCAGCCGGTGACGGAGGAAGGGGCAGAGGACAGAAAGCGGCTGAAGTGGACAATTAAAACGTAAGAGTAGATCAAGGGTGATGGGAGGTGATCGGAATTCAAACGAAAGAGAAAGGGAAAATCCCTACACCCTCCAGGCGGTCTTGCTGAATCCCGAGCATCAACCCAAAGCTAGGTAAGAGCTCTCCCCTGCCTGCTGGCAACCAACCGCGCGTCCCAACCCCATCAGCTTCCCAGAATAGTGCGCGGCGCGGCGCTGTGACGTCTGCGGGGAGGCGGGACTTCCGGTCCCGTTGAAGCGGTCCAGAGATCCCCAGGGAGAGTCGGCCCCCGCATAGACTGACAGGTGAGGTACCGCTCGCCGAGATCCAGGTGATTTTGTCCCAGGAAAGACAGGTGGGAAGACACGCGGGAGCTCCTTCCTCTTTATGGCTCCACGCGGAATCTGCTGCCCTTGGCCAAATGGCTTGCAGCCGCGGAAATAACTATGCGGCCACATTTCACCGGTTCAGAGCCTCTGGGCTAGGGAGTGCCCGGAGGTGCTGACCTGGCGGTGGCTACCCTGAGCGCGAGAACCCCGTTTGTAAAACCGAGTGCAGCCTCCCTGGAGATAGGTCTTCAGGAGGTCCCTTTCGGGTAAAAACCCGATATTGGGCAGCCGGCCTGCAAGGAGTGCCTAGGAGAGATCAAAGTCTGGGCTGGCCGGGGAAGTTCTTTGCAGCAGGCGTCTAGCGATCATACTGCTTTTCATTCACCTTTAAGTCCTTGATTGTAATCTCTCATTTCTTAGAGTTTTGTTTTGTTGTTTTTTTTTTTTTTTTTTTTTGCTTGCAAGACAGGATGCAGGTTGGCACACTTCATTCCATCATTCATTCATTCATTTCTCGCAACTAATTACTGGCCTCTTGTTTTGTGCCTTATGTGTCAAACACTGCTAGAGTTTATAGTCCACCATCTGGGCCTACAGTTCTTAGCCCTTTTAGTTCTAAGAGCACATGCCTATGGAAAAGAGAGATGTAGTGGAAGAAACCCAGAAATTTTAGAAAACCAGTCTTTATTCACAAAAATGTTTTGTAACATTTATTTCCTGAACTATACGTAGGAAAGTCTGATGTGTCTGTTGGATGTTTTGCTATTTTCCACCTAAAGGTGAGAGGCCTTGTAAGGCCCTTCTTCTTAGCATGTAGAATTCTAGAGGAAAATCAAGGCAACACAGAAGATCACTTTTCTAAACTTTCACATTTTAATATTTTGTATTTTGGTAACTAAGCCTTCAGACTGGGTGACTTAGTTTGGGTTAAACAATTCTTTCAGCATATTCTAACTTGTACTATTACTTTAATATGTTTTTAAGATCAAGCATTTCATTTTGAAGTTTATTTCAAGCAAAGGGATATCAACGTACTATTTTTAAAGAGATTGTTTTGAGTGTATGTATATTTTTTCCTATCCATATATACCTATGATTGAGTAAAATAAAGGTTACTTGAACACAACCACTGTACTATCAGTTGCTTTGATAAGTGAGATGGTTACTAAATGACTAATAGGCAGGTAGCATATGTAGTGTGGATATGCTGGACAAAGGAATAATACCCTGTGCAGGATGAAATGAGACAGATCCAGATTTCACCATGCTGCTCAGAATGGTACACAAACTTAAAGTTTATTATTTCTGAAATTTTCATTTAATATTTTCGGAGCATGGTTGCCATGGTGTGAAGTTCTTTGTTGATGCCTCTTTTTGAACCTGGAGAGATAACATTTTTTCACCTCTGATATTGGTTATTTGGGCCCTCTCTTTCCTTTAGGAGTCTTTTGGGAGTTTTACTTTTTTATAGGGTTTTCCAAAGAACAAACTTTTGGGTTTGTTGATACTCTCTAATATAAACTTATTCCCTTGTCTCATTAATTTCTATCTTTACTTGGAATTACCTAGTCTTTTCATATTCATTAACCTATATGGCTAGATCCTTAACTTCTACTCTTTTCTAAATGTCATCTCAAGACATAATTTTCCTGCATCCATGCTTTTATTTGTATCCCATGTTTTTGATATGTCATCTTTGTTTTCTGTTCTATGTTTTCTTCTTATTGTTGCACTGATTAAATTTTCTTTCTCCTCTTTTATAAACTTGTTCGACATTCTTATGCAATTCTTTTAGTGGTTACTGATTTTTTTAAGACAAATTTAAAAAATATTTCTCTGGCTTTTCTAATTGTTCTCAGTGGAAGATTATTTGGAAGCTACCTAGTCTGCCCTTGCTAAAGCAGATTCACAAATCTTTTGTGGTGCTGAGATTTTGAACTCAGAGCCTTGTGTTTTCTTGCTAGGCAGGTGCTCTACCACTTGCACCATGCCCCCAGCTCTTTTGCTGTTAATTAATTTTTAATAAGGTATCACATTTATGCCCTGGCCAGCCTGGACCTAGATCCTTCTTTTTATGCTTCCCACATAGCTGGGATAGCAAGCATGTTCTACCTTTTTTTTTTTCCCCAGGCTGGCCTCAACCTGCAATCCTTCCAATCTTTATTTCCTTAATAGCTAGGATTACAGACATGAGCTACTGCACCTACCTCAAACTTAAATTAATGTACATACTAAACAAAAACCAAAAGCTCTCAGGGCTGGGTAGAACACTTGCCTAGCATGTGCAAGTCCCTGAGTTTGGTCCCCAGCATTGCTCAAAAAACAAAACTCCTCTAATTAAAAACAACTCCCAGATTCACCTCTGTTATTTTATATATTAGTCACATTGATGTTTGCTATTAGGCCAATTTTTTTTTAAAAACTCGATATAGAGATTTTGCTGACATTTTTGTATAGTGTCTTCTATTGTGTTTTATATAAATTACAAATTTTGTAACTTCCATTGGCTTTTAAAAAGTTAATCTGCATTTTCCCAGTCACCAAATATTTTACAAGTAGTTTTAATACTACTACCAGGATTAACACTAGTTAATTGCCATTCAAGGATCAGATATATACAAAGTATATGCTCTGCTCTATATCATGGTAAGATAATAACACAGTCAACAAAAATAAATTTGGTAATATTATTTCAGCATTTTAGGAAGTCTCAGAAACTTCTTAGCCACTTTATGTGTGTAGAAAATAATTCAGATTATTAGATATTGTTAGTGCTTTAACATTAAAAGAAAACTGCCTCACCTCTTTTTCAAATATAATATTGAAAACTATGGCCATTCTACACAAACTTTTTAAAAAACTTTTATAATATCTAATTCTTACATGGTTAAAACAGAATTCTGAGTAGCTAAAATAAACTGCAGATATTTGGATGCTGAAGCTGAATAAGACATACTTACAACTCCACTTCAAATATTTTTGTTCATTCATTCAGCCTTATTGCTCTCATTGACTATATTATAAAAACTAAGTATTTGCATTATAAATTTTATAATAAATGGCATAATAAATACTATAGGTTTGAACCTTGAAGATTTATACTGATCAAATGCTGGTTTTCTGTTTTAAATGTTTCTAGGTTTATATAAGATTTAATTGGAAAAGATTTACTACATAAAATTAGAAAAGCATTAATGCAAATGAACACAGGTATTTAGGGAAGCAGGCTTGTATGAATTGCACAAATTGTATCCATACTTGGTTTTTATCCAGTATAACTTGATGCTTATCAAATTGATATCATTCAAGGTCGCTTATAAGCTGAGGCTGAAGGTAGAGCCATCACTCTTCAACAATATATAATTGCAACACGTTGTTCTTTGTTAATCTGATGCTTGCAGATCTGAATTGACTTGGATTCTTAGGTAAGGAAGATTCTCATGCCTCAAGTTTTTCTTTGCTGCTTTCATGGCTATGTGAAAGTCAGAAATATAAGAGTGAAGGAAAATAAGAGATGCTATAGAAATATATATGTATGTTTCTCAGTTCTGTTTTATTTGAGGTGTTTCAGAATTGCAGTTGCTTCTTTGTTTTCCAGCTTTATCGACCTTGTTGGAGTTTCATATCTACTTGGATTTTCATAAGTTTTGAGGATAATAAAGCTCCCAAGATGCCACATACTTGTAGTTAAGTATTTATGAGTCGAAAGTATTTAATAGCTTTGAATTCCCTTGTGGTGAAAGTGTTATTAAATGTGGACAGAGTCTTTGCAGTCAGTGCTCTAATTTGACATTATGTATAATTGCTCCATCTAAATTTTGTTTCTAATACATTATAAATGTCTGAAGACTTCACAAATATACCTTGTCTTGTGATAGTTTTGAAGACTGGGCCATAGTGGCATTTATTAGTGAACTAAAAATCTATATGAAAAGGTGAGTTATACTTTTCCTTTTGTAGTCAACATGTTTTGAATCAAGAGTTACCACCTTTTAAATGAATTTTTTTTTTTTTTTTTTTTTTACTTTTCTAAGCATTCTTACTTAAGAAAAACTCAATTTAGAATTTTTGGTTAAACGTAGAAGTTAGAAAATTTATGCTTATTTCTTCTGCCGCCCTAAATTCACTAAAATGACAGTGAAAGTAATAAAGGCATAAACAAAGAGAATGGAAAAGGCAACAGAACATAAGACAAATAGAATCTTAGAAATGTTAAAAAGCAAATGGATAATTTATAACTAATGCAGATAGCAGAGCAGTCTTGATGGAATGAAATATTTGATCATAATATTGAGCTATAGTTTATTTTATCATTCCCTAATACTGTTATTCTATAGTTTTATTATCTCTATAATGATTTATCATAATTTACTTAACCATTCCATTTAGGTTCTTCAGCTTTTCACTATCAAAAATAGAATTCCATGCATCAGTCTTACAAAAATATTTTTTATTTTTTATTTTTTTTACAAACAACTTCTCAAAATGACTGAGTCACAGTCTATGCCCTTTATAGGCTTTTTAAAAGCCATTTTCATTATTATCATGAATGTCTGGAATTTCCCACTTCATTGCATCCTAACCAGCATTGCTTTTGCCTTAATTAAAGTGTTTAGTCTAGAAAGAAATATTTGGTGCTTGCAGTAAATTTCTTGACTTTGGTACATGACATGCGTAAGAAATTTTACCAGATAAAGTTTAGTTAGGTACATTTACTACTGTCCATTTAAGATAAGATGGGAGAAATTTAGAGAAAGAAAAGTTTTCCTTTATCTGGGGTATTCAAGGAAGACTTCATGTAAAAAGGCTGAGTCTAAGGTGGGAAAGATTTATGGATAACGCTGTATAGACAGGTGAGAGGTATATCAGTCGGTATTGAAACAGGAAATGAAAGCAACACAGGAACAAATGGTTAGTTTAACCTAAATAATTATTAAACTATGATAGGAGAAATGCTGTGATGTTACTATATAAAGAGAACTCTAAATGCTACCCTAGGTCTGAGGGTAATACCCAAGGAAAGACAAATTGAAGTGAGAATACTTGTCAGAAAAATATTCTGGGTTGCCTGGGCCAAAGCTGGTGCAGTCACTGCAACCTCAGGTAAGCCAAAACTGGTGGGAGTGTGCAGAAGGAGTCGTGTCATTGTTACAGATTTGAGACCTAGAGCACATGGTGTTTATGATGGAAGGACCTTGGGGTACAGGTGAAATGAGGTTGGTAGGTAAGTACAGAGGGAATTAGAGCACCATATTACTGCTGAAATTAGAAGTTGGAGAGGCCTCCAGTGAAGCAACCTAGAACACTGCTGAGTAGGGTTTGGGACAGGGAATTCCAGGCTATGTGGGACAAAGGTCAAGTGGCTGGTTGGTTCTCTGGAATGGTGTGCATGTGGGCTGAGAAGAGGGAATGGGGAGTGGCCACCTGTTCTGGGGCTCTTGACTACCGTGCTGCTGCTGCCTGAGTAGAGTTGGAGGCAGGAGGAGAGTAATAGCTGTGAGCCAAGTACTTGTGAAAGCTGTACCATATAGGTACCTGGCATTAAAGCAGTGTTTTTCAACCTTGATATTGTTGACCTTTAATGCAAAATAGTTATTTGTTTTGGAGGGAGCTGTCCTGTACAGTGTAGGATGTTTAGTAGATCTTTGGCCTCTAATCTATGCCAGTAATTCTTTCTAGTTGTGACAGTGATTAAGAGAATTACAGCAGAAGTGGAAGTTACTCATTGTCATTATCAGTTTAGACTGGAAAGGGGAGGGGGCTGTGATCTTTTATTTCACCAAAGATGTGACTCCCTATTTCTAAGTAATATCCTTGTTGTTTGTTTTAATTTGCCTTCTAATCCTTTACTTCAAAATAGCTGAATAGTTTTATATCTTCTATATGTTCTATGTATTTCCTTCTAATTACTTTGAGATTTACCTTTTTTATTTTTCATTATTATCTTTGGCTCAATCTTTTACATTTTACTGACTCTTCAATTTGCTTTTTTCCTTTAATGTAGAAATGGACTCAGAAACCAAAGAAGAAATCCCTGTACATGAGGAATTTGTTCTCTGTGGTGGAGTTGAAACCCAGGTTCTAAAATGTGGGCCCTGGACTGACCTCTTTAATGAGCAAAGTGTCAACAGGCCTAAGCTGCTTATTGTCATTATTCCTGGTAAGTATGAAAGTCTGGTTGAGGAGACTTTATAATGATCTTATAAATATTTATGATTTGAAAATTACTCTTTAGAGTTAACTATAGAGAGTTTAAAAGGAAATAAAATTACTTAACCAGTGGCTAATACCCATCTTTAATACTTTGGTGGATGGATTTTTTGATTTTCTTCTATTTCTATTATGTTGTCTATTATATAGATAGATATATATTTTTTAAGAGAGAGTTACAGCTGAATGTATACCATATATGCAGTTTTGTAATTTGCTTTTAAAATTGTCTTTATATCTACCACTTTATCAATATTTTTAAGTTTTTTAAAACTTTTTTCCAACTCATTTTAAGATGATTATATGTTTATCATAGAATGTTTGTTTATTCTGAGATTTATATGAGTTGCTTGTGACTTTTGCCAGATCACTGTAAATAGAATGTTAGGGGTAGATGATTGCAGGTATTAGAAGTGCTTTTTACATTATGAATTTAATACATATATTTTATAATCAAATCCATTTGGGGATTCTGTTTGGTGAACTGCCAGTTTGAAACCCTTGCCCATTTTTCAATTGTGTCATCAATGTTTTTCTTATTCACTTAAGGTAAAATTAGCTAGCATTTGCTGCCCTTAACGCAGAGAAACTAAAGCAGATACCTTAAAAGCAACTGAGGCCAATAGGAAAAGGGGACCAGGAACTAGAGAAAAGGTTAGATCAAAAAGAACCTAGAAGGTAACACACGCACAGGAAATCAATGTGAGTCAATGCCCTCTATAGCTATCCTTATCTCAACCAGCAAAAACCCTTGTTCCTTCCTATTATTGCTTATACGCTCTCTACAACAAAATTAGAAATAAGGGCAAAATAGTTTCTGCTGGGTATTGAGGGGATGGGGGGGAGAGGGAGGGGGCGGAGTGGGTGGTAAGGGAGGGGGTGGGGGCAGGGGGGAGAAATGACCCAAGCCTTGTATGCACATATGAATAATAAAAGAAAAAAAAAAGGTAAAATTATGTTCTGTTTGTCATACATGACAAGAATCTTTCTTGGTTTTTTTCCACCTCATTTACAATATTTATTTGGCTGTACAGAAGATTTCATTCTTACGAAACTGGTAAAAATGACTAGCCCTTCCTTCAAGATCTTTGGGTTTTATGACTTTCTTAGAAAGGCCTTCCCTACTCTAATATTATAAAACAATTCTGCCATGTCTTGTTGTTTTGTTTTATATAATGTTATTTGTGATCTTTAAGTGTGACCCTTCTAAAATTTAAGGGCAAGAACTGAAAAATGGATCTAGTTTTCTTCCGCATCTCTTTAGACGTCTTACTAATTGATCCCCAACTATTTATGAGGTAATTGTCTTTTTCCTACTGGTTTTCAATGCTTGTTTTATCATAAAATAGATTCTCCTTTGACTGGAAGTCTATTTCTGTATCCTCTACCTTTTCATGTATTCATGTTTTTAATACCTACAGCTTTATGATACCATTACATATCATTTAGAACTTGTCTTTGCTCACTTTTATTCTTTACCAGAATAATTTTGGCTTCTGTTCTTTTGACCTCATAACATTTGTTTTTTACTTCGTTAGGAGGAAAGAAAAAAAGCTATGTGATCTTTAAAATCAGCTTTTCTAGTCCCAACATCCTCAGAGAGAAATACTTTCAAGGCTGGTGTACTCCTCTGGAATTTAGTCCATATTTCTAAATGAAATACTTCAATTGCTATTTCTTGAGTTCTCACTATTAGATATCATCTGTTGACTTCCTCTATAAAAGATGAGAATTAACTTTCTTACACTTTCCTTTCCCCATACTCAGTCACACATCCCTTCTTCCCAGTTCCTAATCTTATTTTGTAGCTTTTGGTTAGATCAATATTCAGTCGTTTCATTTATATAACTATGTATTAATCTGCAGCTCAGCCTATGGGGTCTTTTGATTGCATTTCCTTTCTTGTACATTTTTATTTGCTTTTCCTGAGTTAGTGATTATGTCCATCCATCCATCCATGTCGTTTTCTTTCTTCTTTTTACTTAACTTTCTATTCTTCAATCACTCATTTATCTTTTAAAGCTATCTTGTAGAAGAAGTCCTCTCACTGTATTTGGGTAGTCAGTTTCTTTTCTCTTGGAGTTGCCTCTACAGAATGCTGTGTTCTTTGGATTTGATCTGGACTGGTTGCTGCTCAGGCCGCTGCCCAGCTGCCATTCTGGAGATTCCTGTCACTTTTTCCTGGGTTTGATCCCCTGTTTTCTGGATCCCACATTTTTCTCTTTATTTATTCCCTGCTTGTGGTAAAAAACTTCTTCTCGTAATTTCCTGAGAAGTGTAGGAGAAGTAATCTCATGTCAGAAATACCTTAAGGCTGGAGAAGTAGCATAGTGGTAGATCATTTGTGTGAGGCCCTGGGTTCCATGCTGAAAAAGAAAAGAAAGTGTCTTAGACTTCTAGTTTGAAAAGGATTTTTCCTTAGAATTTAGAGGCCATTAATCATTGTTTTCTAGAGTTTGGGAGCTGCTTATGAGAAGTCTTGGTATTATTCTGGTTTTTTATCTTTTGCATATGAAACTTCCCCATACCTCACCCTTCTCTTTGTTCTAAGATTCTGAATTTCACAACAAACCACATTGGTATGTACTTTGTACTGGGGTTTTAATGGGCCCTATTAAACCAGAGATTCACATGCTCAGTACCAATGTCTCTTTCTTTTCTTTCCTCTTAGATGGATGTAATATCATTTTTCACTTTTTCCATTTGTTAGAATTTCACTATATTTCTTTTTCAGTTTGTTTATATTAATGATTATTTTTCCTCCTATGTTTTATAATCTTTTTACTACTTATTCATCTTTAAAAGAGAGACAAAAAGAGCTGATTGGAGGTTTTGTACTTAGAGGTGGGACTTGCCCATGTACTTAGGGTGACCAGCCATCCTGGTTTGCCTAGGACTAAGGAGTTTTCAAGGACCCATGACAGTCTGTACTAAAATCACAACAGACCTAGGCAAAACAGAATGATTGGTCAACTGGGTGAGACTTGCCCTTGGGGTATTAAGTAAGAACCCAGTATTTCAGTGGGAGATTTCCAATTTTTTGTGTCTGGATTGGATTATTCTATTTTTTCCAAGAAGAAATCTTCCAATGTCCTGTTTGAAGAGTGAAATCCTGTTTGCTAATGTTCAGAGCTGAGCAAAAGGAGATGTTAAGAGCTTTAGTGATCAGTTATACTTAATATAACCTCTTCTTAGAATAGTACTTTCATTCTCAGGTAGGCTAAGATTCCTGACCCAGAATCTCTCTTTGGTTCAATCTTCTCTGGAATAAATGGCCGGTCTCCTGCCAGGATGTAATATTCTTTTTGAAAATCAGCCTTGGCAGCACCTATTAAAATTAAAACTACTTACCTTCTGTCAGTAGTGAGAAAGAGATTGAAATTATAGGCATGACAAGTTTTGTTTAATGGAGCTGAGATTTGGAGGCTATAGAGAAAATAAGTAAAATTATAATCTTGGATTACAGAAGGGATATGTATCTTCTGAAGGCTGCAAAAAAGGAAGAGAAGTTAGTTACTAAAATGGAGAATTGTAAAGGCATATCGGAGGAATGAGAAATAGTTCCTACCTCCTGATCTCTATTAAGAGTTGAGGTCATTTTTTGAGAGTAAGCATGATGGAAGATGTGGGGCGACCCTGAGGAAAGTGGCCAGTGTTTGAAATAGCAGATATCTGTGTGAAAGGAATCGTCCACCAAAAAGAAGTGGATAGATTTTTGAGGAGCTCTGTGATTGAATAACAGACATATTGAGAGTAAGGTCCAACAGGGCAGAAGATTAAGCTGGAAAAGGGCTATCAAAGTTAAGATGTTTTAAATGATAATCATTTCTACCTAATGAAAAGATCTAGGTCGGGAGGAGGGATAAAGGACAATGGTGGAGGGGGTGAATTCAAGTATGATACATTTGATACACTGTAAGAACTTTTGTAAATGCCACAGTGTACCCCTACCCAGTACAACAATTTTTTTAAAAAAAAGAAAGAAAGAAAAGAAAACATCTAAGCCTGTGGCTCTTACAGTTGGTATCAGGACCAGGAGTATCACTTGAAAATGTGTTAGAAGTGCATGGTCTTTCTCCCTATCTTTGACTTTTGAACCAGAAAATCTTGGGATAAGATAATCTTTTCTAACAAGCCCTCCAGGGGTGACACCTCACCTTGTCTAGAATTGGCCATAGGAATTAGTTGTGTAAACTTAATGCAGATAAAGTCAAATAGATTTGGTCACTGTAATGAATTATGGAACAAAGGTGGCGGTTCAGTCAATCCTACAAGATTTTGAAATATCCTAAGACATGGCATGATAAGGAAATTGTCATATAAGGGTCATTGTTTTTAGGGAATGTGTGAGTGACTAAAAAGTTGATAGATGGGAGTAAATGGCTTGCGTCAAAGGAAGAAAGGTTGTTAAAGTAAGGTGAAATAATAAGTAGGTAGACAGCCCACTCCACTTCCCCACCTAAGGGTACTCATTTATCCTGCTTTGCAAAAGTCTATGCTGTCCTTGAAATATGTGAGGTATTAGAGAATATTGAGTGAGGTTGCTATTGAAAAGGCTTGAACGGAAGAGTCCATCACAGGGAAGCCAGGTTTCTGACATAGTGTGATGGTAGAGGAAGCCTTCAGTGAAAGCACTATGGATGGAGGGAAATTTAAAACATTCTTTGTTGTGTAGTCTTATTGTTTGTAGTGCTTTGACATTTTCAGATCACATTTTTTTTCCTGTGTTCTTTTGTTTGCACTTCTATTCTCATTGCTGTATTTAGCCCTTTGCCATGGTTCCCTGAAAGCCGTAGGCTGGTTCTACTCATTAATCTGTGGGATTCAGAATTATATTTTATTTTGGGGCCTAGTCTATTTTAACTGTGGGGGAAATTAGGATGATTGTGTGTGTGTGTGTGTGCATGAAATAACCATCACTTAAAATGTTAGCTATTGTTATTTTCTAACCATGTGAAGATTCTATAGAACTTCACTGGCCGACATTAAAAATGTGAATATGAGGTATAACACAGCCCTGGAAGGTTATACCCAGCAATAGAAGATGTAGTAAATCTTTCTACTGTAATATATAAATGAAATGAAATTTTATTCAGAATCCCAAAGAAATTTTTATAAAGTGAAATTAATTAGAAGTTCATGAGGCCAGCCTAGAAAATGTAGAAAAATAGAGGGATTTTCTCTACTAGTGGAAGGAAGGAAGGAAGGAAGGAAGGAAAGAAAGAAGGAAGGACGGAAGGAAGGAAGGAAAGAAGGAAGGAAGGAGAAGGGAAGGGAAGGGAAGGAGAAGGGAAGGGAAGGGGAGGAGAAGGACGCGGAGGGGAGGGAAGGGAAGGGGAGTGGAGGGAAGTAAGGGAGGAAGAGAGAAGGAGAGAAAAATGGAATTATTTGGAATCTGAATTCACAAGCTAATGTAAAAATTTAGTTTTGGATCAGAAGACATTGCAAATTAATGCAAAAATAATGAGTTGCATGTTAAAGTTACATATTAAAGAATGAGTTACATATGGTCTTGGGACACTTGCCTACTTACTTGGAAAGAAGTTGCTAAACAATATTCCAACTTACTGAAGATTTACTTTTAAATTTATAAAACATGATCAGTGCCATCCACAGCCACCATAGATGCGTAGCCCCTCTTCTCATCCACCCTCCTCCCTTCTTCCTTAGCTACATAGTAGCTGATCAAAGAGCACATTGTGGCATTTAGTGAATTTTCATCTCATTTGACAAAGATGACAGTAGCACCATCAAAAGAAGGAACTGGGAACTTGAGGCACTAAGTCAGAATTCAACAGAAGCAAAATAGCAAAATGGATCATAATCCTACTATATCCATTATGGCTAGACATTGATGTACAAGTTGAATAGTTAACACTTATAGCTAACATTGCTATGTTTTAAGCAATGTTGAAATATTTTTTTTCACTTAGTCATCCCATGAGATAGCATAATTATTATCCCCATTTCATGGATGAGGAAACCAAGCCACAGAGAGGCTAAATAACTTGCTAAAACTCACAGAGTTTGTAAGTGGGAAAGCCAGGATTCTGACCACTGCAGTCTGGCTCCAGAGTCTACACTCTTAACCACTTTATTATGCTGCCTATCTGAAAGATATGAAAACTGTAATAGAACTCAGTGAAATTTGATAAGGATGGCAGTTAGTGCCATCAAGTCAAGTAAAAAAAACCTTGTAGCACAAAGAAATGATAACTTGATTGGTGAAATAGAAATAGATGCTGATGGAAATAAATTACTAACTGTGAAGACCATACAAATGATGATTACAAGATAAAAGCCCTATTATCACTGTCTTTTCCCTCTACAGGTATATCAGATTGAATCTTTTTTTAATAAGAATCATTTATTTATTCTGCTTCTCTGTAGTAAACCTGTGTCAAAAACACATTCTATGTATATATCAGAAAAACCTCCACATATTAGTTCATGGTCTTTTCTCTCAAAGATCAGATGTACATCCATTTACATTATAAGTAGTTGTGATAAATGACAAGGCAAAACTGAATAGATGCCTTAAAGTTTTCTTTGTACACGATTCTAACACTGATCTAATTGGTCTGGATTTTTGTTGTTGTTGTTAGTTTTCATGAATCTTAATAATTGAGCTAGTCAAACTTTAAAGGGCCTCACAGGAAATATTAATGGTTTTAGGCTTTATTCACATGTTAGTGAGAAGCCACAAAAAGGTGTCTGAAAAGGATACTACTATGCACCCGAAGAATTTATTCCAAGGGAACTATAGTAGAGAGACCTGTTAGGAGGCTATTGTAGAAGATCTAGTAGAAAGTGATAATCACTAATGGAGAGATGTGGACAAATGTGAGATGCATTTTGGAAGCTTACTTGAAGAATTTGTGGGTTGGATGTGAAGGACAGGAAGAAACCAAGTATAACTCCTACTGTTTGAACTTGAACACTTGGTTTATGATTGGTAGTTCCACTTAGTGGGTTAACTTAGTGGGAGAACTTGCTTGAAACAATTGGAGAATAAAATAAGAACAGAAATTTCTGAAGTGGTTATTCCCAGACTTAAGTTAGGAAGGGGATTACAATTAAAGTAAATGAATAAATGTTGCTGAGTTTGTAGAGGAAAGTGTGAGGAGATGTAGACCCTTCTAGTCTGCATACAATCTTAAGTAGGTTTATTCCTTTGGTTAATCTTAGGTCTTTGTTTCTTTTATAGGTAACCCAGGTTTTTCTCCCTTTTATGTGCCATTTGCAAAGGCTTTGTTCTCTTTGACAAACAGATGCTTTCCGGTTTGGACAATCACTCATGCCGGACATGCCTTGGCCCCTGAAGACAAGAAGATTGTTCCAACATTGAAGGGTATGTCTTTGTGAACATCTACTTTCCTTTCCAGTGAATGGATATTCATCTTTTTAGAAAGCCTGCTAACTTTAGAAGTTTTTGCCAATGAAAATCCTTCCTTGGAACATTAGGCTCAGGGAGCTACATTTTCCTAACTTTAGAATTTTTATAGAATGTAACTCTTCTGCAGGCAGTTTTCTATAAGAATTTGTCTATGACTTGCCTTCTTTATTTACTAATTAGTAATCAACTATATACTTATTGATCACATTTTTCTAAGATTGTACTAGGAGGAAAAGTAGAAAAAGACCTTATAAGGCACGGTCTTTAAAGAAGTGTTCTCCCTCATGTTCGTAGAATGATGACTTAACAAATGCTGGACTACTGATCATGTAGATACCTAAAAGTAAACTAAGTAAACCAACAGTATAGGTTAGAAGAGACTTTGTGGAGTAGTGGATGTCTTAAGTCAGTTTGGTCTGCTATGGAAGAATACCGTGCACTGAGTAGCTTATAAACATACATTTATTTCTTATAATGTCTTGAGGTGGAGAAGTAAAAGATCAAAGCACTGGCCAACTCAGTATTTGGTGAGGAGGGCCTATTTCCTGATTCATAGATAATTTTTTCTACCTATGTCCTCTCTTAGTGGAGAGATGAAGCAAGCTCTCGTGGGACTCTTTTCAGAACACTAGTCCTATTCATGAGAACTCCACCTCATGACTATCTAATCCTAATTATTTTGCAAAGACTTACTTCCTAAGATCATCACATTTAGGGGTAGGGATTTCAACATACGGATTTAGAGGGAGGGCATATAAGCATGACACCATAACAGCAGGTTTTGATACTTGGGTAGGTTTTGTATTTGGGGGTAGCTGTAGATGCAGAAATATAATAGGCAGAAGGAGTAGCACAGAAGGGAGTAAGAGTTAGGAGGTATTCAGGGCTAGTTTGAGAATTGTGAAAGCTAGAGAGCTTGGACTCCGTGTGGTAGATTACTAGAAGGCTTTTAAATGAAGGAAGTGTTACTACAGAGATACAAACTACCTGCTTTTTGCTAATAAGAATTCTAATTCACGCTCCTGAAAAATTTTTAAATGAGAGGAAAAAAGTGTATAACTTTCATTCTCTGTAGCCATCACATTCAAGGTCATTTTGTCCTAGGAGTTTCCCTTACTTATTTGAGGCAAGAGAGCTGGCTTTATTCCCTACTTGGATCCTAGTTCTTGTTGGTCTCTCCTTACAAACATCATTTTATACTTACTGAGCTTTTGTTTTAAAAATACAGTATATTAAAGTTACATTTTATATTTGTACTCTTTAAGATTATATATTCATGATTCTTTTAGACACTGGTATATGAATTCAAATACATAAAACCTGTACTCTATGAATGATCTATATTATATTCCAGGCTACTTTTGATTATATTTATTTTTTATTATACATAGTATAGTATACTCACCATCATATCAGACATAATTTTCATGTTTGTGTTTTAAAATTTAATTTAGTGACAATAAATTTGACTACATGTTTGCACTCTTCTAAATACCCTGTAAAGATTAATTTATTAATCTATTACTAATTTTGGTTGGCTAAACAATATCAACTTATCTAGTGTTATCTAGTTTTTAGCTTTGTATTTTGAAACTGATCTGATATATAATTGTGAATAATATAAAATTTACTTATTTATTTTAAAAATGAATTCATTTTATTTTTGTGTTAAAAGTTATATGCTTATTATAAATAATTTAGACAACACAGGAAACTGTGAATAAGAAAGTTGAAAAATCAGTGTTCTAAAATATAAAGATTGGAGAGGAATATTATAACTTTTTAATGTTTTGTTCTAATTATGTGTAAAGTTTTTCAACCCAAAAATCAAACAAACGTTATCACCTTGGCTCTGACAGATGATATTTCTCAATGTGTTCTATTCTTTACACAATAGTTCAGGGATTTTGTTGAATTTGAAATAATTATCTAAGAACTATCCAGTGAGTAATTTTTAGTGCTTTTTTCCCCTGAGACAATGTTATAATGAAGTGTGTATTTTAAACCTTAATAAAATAATTACATTTTTATTCTGAATATATGTTTTTCAACAGTTGATTGCTTCTTATTACCTGTTCAGGTACAAGGATGGAGTTTATCCTTGTGATGCAAGGATGGCTCAACATATACAAATCACTAAATATGCACTGTGTTAAAACAGAATGAAGGGAAAATCATGATTCTCTCAAAAGGTGCAAAAAATAAGGATTTGAAAAAATTCAATATCCTTTCATAACAAAAACTTTCAATAAGGTTGATATAGAATGAATGTATTTTAACATGCTAAAAACATGTATGACTAGCCCATTGTTAACATAATCACTGGAGAAGCACTGAAAGCATTTCCTATAAGTCAGGAACAGTGTAATTGGTGCACTCTCACCACTTCTGTTCCATTCAGTACTAGATGTCATAGTCACAACAATTAGGAGAAACAAAAGGCATCTAATTCAGAAAGAAAAAAAGACTATCTGTGTTTTCAGATTACATGAACTTGTACATGGAAATCCCTACAAACTCCACCAAAAATCTGTTAAGAGCTAATAATTAAATTCAGTAAAGTTGCAGGATACAGAATCAATATAGAAAAAATCAGTTGTGTTTCTGTGTACTAATAAAGCATCTGAAAAGAAATAAACAATTTTATTCATAATTGCATTAAAAACAATTAAAAAGTAAATGCCATATTATGTCACTTATATATAGAATGTTAAAAAGTCAAATCATACAACTAGAGTCTGGTGGTTACCAGGGGCTTGGAAGTGGGGGAAACAGAGAGATATTGGGCAAAGAGTACAAGCTTTCAGTTATAAAATGAGTAAGTTCTGGAGATGTAATTACAGTATGGTGACTACTGTTAATACTGTACTGTATCCTTGAAATTTCTTAAGTGAGTAGATCTTAAAGGAAAAAAGAAAACTGAGCCAATAATTAATAAATTTCCAAATATGAAAGTACCAAGTTCAGATGGTTGTATTGGCAAATTCTTGTGAACATTTAATGAAGACTTTATACAAATTCTCTATAATCTTTTCCAGAAAAATAGAAACAAAAGGAACATTTCCTAACTCAGTCCATGAGACCATCATTATCCTACTACCAAAATCAGATAAACATTTATAGTTTTTGAGAAAGGAAAAATGTAGATCAATACCTTTGCTTACCATAAATGCAAAAATTTCCAACAAAATATTGTAAGTTGACTCCAACAATATATAAAACAAATTATATACCACACCCAACTGAGATCTGTTACTAGTATGCAAGGCTGGTTCAACACTTGAAAATCAGTTAATATGATCCATCCCATCAATAGGTCAAGAAAAAAATCAAATGGCCATATCAGTTGATGCAGAAAACATATTTGACAAAATCTATGAAAAACCCACATTTGACAAAACCCATTTATGATTTAAAAACACTCAGCAAACTAGGAATGGAAAGGAATTTACTCAACTTAAGCAAGAATCTCTTCAAAATACCTATAGTTAACATCATACCTTATGATGAAAAACTGGATACCTCTCCCCTCAGATAGGGAACAAGGCAACTCCATTCAACATCATACTGGAACTCCTACCTAGGTCTGTAAGACACGGAATTATAAGGTGAAACAGATTGGGAAGGAAGAAATAAAACTATCTTTGTTTGCAGATGACATGATTACCCATGTGGAAAATCCCAAAGCATCATCAATGGCAAAGATTCTTGGAATTAATAAGTAACTATAGTCATATCACAGAATGCAAGATTAATATACAAGTCAATTGCTTTCCAATTTTGCAACAATGATAAAGCCAAATTTAATGAAAACACTTTATGTTTGAACCAGAGTATATTTTGAAAGTTGAGTATTTATTACCTACCTGCAAGATTTTAAGAAGAGTAGTGAAGTAAAATGGAACATACAGATTGTAATGCCTTGATTAAAAAATATTTCAACATATTGAAATGTGACTGAAAGTGAATAAAATATAACAGATACTCTGCTGTGAAATATTTTTAAAGGTACCAGTAATGTTTCCTTTGTCAGGAAATATATATTATGTCTGTTTAAAAAGTGCCTCTGCATCTTATATTGTGTTTGGAAATCAGAGGTATTAAAAGAATATTTCTGTACTTGGAATGTAGCTCAGTGGTAAATCTCTTGCAAAACAGGTTAATTTAACATGCTATACTTCCAAAAGCTACCAGCTGTCCTGGCCTGTTATTTGAACTCTGGAAAAAGAAGAGATAGTACAAAGACAGAGGGAGCTAGGAAGTAATGGAATGCTACAAGGTCCCCAGTGAAGGTGAATTCCTTTTTTTGACATGCTCAAACTTACTAGTGGTGAATAGCTAACTTGTCTCATTCCTGCATTCTTACTGGGCAAGAAAGGCTATCCATTGTAGAGAACATTACTTAATTAGAGCAACGTCAGCTATCATAGTAGCTATCTGAAGTCATGCTAAAGAAAGAAGTAAAGGAGCAGAATGTGAATAGTAATTTTGAAAGCCAAAAACAGGCTCAGGGGATCACATTTGTTCAGAGGTTCTCAAATTTTAGCATGCATCAGAATCACTCAGAGGATTTATTGAAACATGAATGGCCACCCTCTGAATGGTTGACTCGTAGTGCTAAGGTGGGAGCTGAACATTCTTTTTCTAACAAGTTCCCAGGCTTGGACCACATTTTTCACAATGGCCCTAGGTCTTCCCCACTGACTACTAGTGACCAAAACCAGTAGAAAGTATCTGTTGTGTGTCTGAATTTCTAAGAAATGTCTTTAATTCCTGTTTTTAAATTGACATTTTATTATTTATAACTTTACTTTAGGTATGCTTATTGCTGTTTAGCTGTTTCTGTGCACAGTATTGAGTTAATAACTTACTAATTAGAGCCTGGGTTCTTTGCTACCTAATGAGAACAGTGCCATCTAGAGGTATTATCCCTGAGGGCCACCACAGGGCCAAAGAAATCTGTGGTTTTCAGAAAGGGTAAAAGGGCAACTTATCACCAGGCTTTATTGACAGCAAACTAGATTATTATGTGTGGTGCTGCAGTAGAATGAAAAGAAGTAGAAATGCCCATCTCCACCTTTTTAGGATAGTGATTTCCATCTGTGTTCTGAGTAGCCCAAAAGTTCTGTGAAGAACAAATAGTGTCCTGGTCCATTTCAATTCAAGCTCCCAATTCAAGAAAAACTGTTTTGCTTTCTTCAGTTTTACATGCTAGAGGTTATGTTTACAAGTATATCCTATAGTTGATTGTTTTGCATAGGCAAGACAGATACATTATTCACCATCTGAGATTATCTTACTAACGACATGTTTTCTAATGTGCAAAATATAGTGTAAAGAGTCCATAATTATTGCAAGAAAGCTGTAACAACACATGAAGTATTGAGCTGTGCTCTCCTTCATATTAGAACATGGTAAAATCATGAACAGTTGGAAATAATATTCTAGTTGCACCGCATTATCACAACCATAAATTGAAAAAGAAATTGAGAGAACAGATGTTCGCCAGTGTCAGAAAGGAATGATGCAAGAAAAAAAACGTGAAAAGAACATTTGAGGAATTAGAAGTATAAATTGTTCTCTGGCTTTTACTTATGTAAAGTCATTGTACTTGATGTCAGATTCTTTATCAACTGTTCAGGTCATTTGTTCAAAAAGTATAAAATGGAAGCTAGATCATACTGGTTTAGTTTTAGTAGTTTACTTTAAAAATTTACATGATAGTACAATTTATGATGATTTGGGGAGCTACTCCCACTGCAGTCCTTCAAATAGAAAGAAAGAGAGAAAAGCCAGTAGAGCTTTCTCTCTTGACAGGACTGAGACTAACAGACAGACATGGGAGAATGATAGAATGATTAGATGAGCCCAAGGCTGGTCAGACAAGCAGTCAAATCTTGAGGCTCACAGTCATCAGAAATGAAAACAAATTTCTAGGTAGGAAGAATCAGAAAACCAAAGCACAGAGCTAGGGAATTGAGCTCATTATTAGAGCCCCAGGGAAGACTAGGAAACTGTTCAGATTTAGATTTTTGGATGAGGGATGCTCAGCCAATAAAGTCTATGTAAATATCAAAAAATCTGGAGGAAAAAAGTATCTGAAACCTGGGGCAGTTCGTGTCCAAAGCATTTTGGACAAGTAATACTCAACCTACATATTACTTTCCTTTTGCTAGGTTCTTAAAGTGGGAGTTTACACTGTTGATTGGAAGTTTTTCTCTGCAACTTATGTATTTAGTACTATAAATTCCCTTCCTGCACTACTCAGCTGTGTCCCACGGATATTGATATGTATATTCTTAATTTCACTCTTTTTAATGTTTTTTTTTATTTCTCTTGGAATCTTGTCTTTGACCCATGAATTATTTAAAATAATATTATTTTATTTCTGAATTTTTAGAAATTTCTCTGATTTCTGTTGTTACTTTCATTATTGCTAGAGAAACATACACTTATAGCTTCAGGTCTTTTAAATTTGTTGGGCTTAGTTAGTCCAGGATATGACCTGTCTTGTTGTATGTTCTGTGGATACTTAAGCAGTCCAATATCTTTTTTTCTAATATCTTTTAAATGAATTCCTTTTCTGTCTAAATCATCCATTCAGTGCTTGTGTATTACATCTAAAAACCAATTCTCCTTTCCAACAGCATTTAGTAGTCTTTATTGGCTAGGGAACATCAGCATGGCAGTCCCTGTCCTATTCCAGAGCAGACAATGCTATCCCTCTCTTGGTAGGATGGTCCATGTCCTACTTGATTAGTGACAGCCTTCCTTTCTAACCTTTTTGCTCCATGTCTCCCTATAACCACAAATAACTTCAGAACTCATGGCTATTTCCAAAATAGCATCTCACACATTTGTGCCTTTTTCTTTTGTCCTTTGCTAAGTCTATAACATTATGTTCTTGGTATTTCCCATATTTCTCCTATTGATATCCTTAGTAGATCTTTTGAATTAGTCAAGTAGAAAACATAATTTGATGCCCTTGATTTCACCATCTGTTTGGTGAATATTTTAAAATATTTTATAAAGCATGTGGTTGGGGTTTATAGTTTCCTTTTAATTTGTTTTTCAGTCAGATAGCATTTTTTAGATAGAATGCCTGTTTACTTCAGTCTGTCATATACTTTCAGAGCTAGCAGAGCTGTGCCAGTGTTTAAATACAGAGCTTACAGAATGTTTAAGGAGCTGGGAACAGGTGAATTTAAACTATGAGACTGTACTTTTACATTAGCTTAGCAAACTCCGGGGACAGTTGTATAAAGAAGGCCTTTGGATCAGTAAGTTAAATAAGCATAAAGTGGGAACCACAGTTATCATCTACCTGCTTCACTGGTCTTTATTTAGCACAACCCCAGGAAGTCCTCTGGGACTTCTGTATCCCACTTGAGTAATAAAGTAATGAATAATGATTTTCCCTAAAAAATAGATGCAAGGTATTTAGGAATGGCATATCAAAGCATTCTCGCTTTAAAAAATATATTTTAAGAAGATTTTTTTAAATATACAAAAGTTTAATAGTTTATACACCTATATAATAATCCAAGTTCTGTTACTCATACTTGACCTAACACTACCATAATTTAATATTTTATTAATAAAATAAGTGAAATAAAATAATACATAAAAAGTTATTTTTATATCCTATCTCCAGTTCTAGTATTATGAATTTAGAGGAAATGCTTCATGGCTCTTTTTATATATGATACTGTTTTGTGTGTTTTTAAAATGATACATTCATCTTGCACAAAGCATTCTTGCAAACATGAAGTTTTGTTCTCAGCCTTTTTATTTCTGTATGTAAATTAAAATTATTATTAAGATACAGCTTTGCAGTAATGGGAGGGGCAGGGTGGAAGAATTTAGTAGTTACCATCTGTAGACTCAATCCTAGCAAAATGCTCATATATTAATCTCTAATCTTATCAGTTCTGTGGTCATAAAGGACTTATAAATACTGTTTGTGTGAAAATATATTGTTAAATTTGTACATTTATATTCAATCTGTATATATGTATAGTTAAATACATATAGTAAATTTCAGCTGTTGTGCTTATATTCAAATATGTAGCTAAATTTATACATTCGTAGTCTTGCACATGTAGAGAATATTTTATAGTAACTTATCTTGGGTAACTTGGAGAAAGGTACAATGCTTTTTTATGAATACAAAAGAATATTGCCTTTCTATCATGGTTCAATGAAACCCTGTTCTTTGCCCAAGCAAATGCTTGAGATGCTTACTTCAGGGTTTTATGATTTTTTTTTTAATTTCCTCTGTGATCTCCTTGAAGGCAAGGATAATTTTTAATTACATCTTGAAGAATCTAGAAAAGAGTTGTGACAGAAAGAAAGGATATTTCAGATTAAGGCTATACTATGTAATTTACAACAGTTCTACTTAAATCTTTAAGTCTCAGATCTTTAAACAAACAATCAAACAAGCAGATTGTTTAAAATATGAACCAATGTCCTCTTTCTTAGTTGTCTATTAGTAACATGAATAACCTTAAACTAGTGGTTCTCAATTCATGGTCCTGAGACTAGCATATCAACATCTCCTGAAACTTGGAGATGAAAATTTTGGGGCTCCAATCCATACCTACTGAGTCAGAAACTGGCGGTGGCACCTTGCAAGCTCCTTTATCAAGCCTTCCACAGGGTTCTGTTGCATGCTCAAGTTTGAGAACACTGGCCTGAGCTAATAGTAGCTCATGGAATAGTTGAAAGTTCATGGACTTGGAGAACAAAGAGACCTGTATTTGAATCTTGCCTCTCCCACTTTATAGGTCTGTGACTGTCAATCTGATACATGTCTGAGTGCTAAGAATTTTACCTATAAAAAGAAAATGATAATACTTCCTTTCTAAGGTTGTTATGAGATTAGTTGATATAATGAGTGCCTAATACTACAACAGGTACACTGTCAGCTTTTAATACATGGTTACTACTGTCAGTTTTTTTACATATTTTTCCAATTTAATGATTATCTTTTCTTATTGAATGAAAGCATGCTCATATTTTTGCTTTTAGACCCAAATGCTCAAGAAATTAAGGACATCTATGGACTACATGGCCAAATAGAACACAAACTAGCTTTCCTGAGAACTCATGTACCAAAAGAAGTAAAGCTTTTACTCATTGGCCATTCTATAGGCAGCTACATTGCTCTTCAGATCTTGAAGTGTGCTCCTGAGCTTCCAGTAAGTATGTCTTATGAGGTGACCCTGGGTGCCTGACTGCACTCACACAAATCCTCCTCAGCACTCCTTTGCTCTTTTGTCTCTTTGTTAATGGATGAATAGAACAAAGAGAAGAATTTTTAGTAGCTGCCTTTATCTCCCTATTACTATGAACCTGTGTGAGTATATGTTTGTGAAATTTTCATAATGTTCCAAAAAATAATGATGAAAGAGATAGAAATTTTCTAAATGAATCCTTTTGAATCTTGGGTTATCTGAGGTTCTAATGTTACATTTAACTTGCTATCTTTTATGAAGGATTATTTAAGAGCAGGTAGCAGCCATAAGATAGGTATCTGTCTTTATTAGGGGACTCTTTTGCAACTATTCATGCCTTCTTTCAGAAGCAAAAAAAAAGAATATCATCTTTGTTAATAATATGTAAACAACTACACCTATGAAATACTAAATCTTTATTTAGTCATAAACAATTATCCCTATGAAATACTAAGTCTTTATTTAGTCATAAGTCTGTTTTGTAGCTTGACAGCCTTTTTGAGATACAAACTTCTCCTTTCTTTTATGAATACTTCTGTTTGATTGCTGGGGATGGAACCCAGTGCCTTGTGCATGCTAGGCAAGCACTCTATCACTGATCTACATCCCCAGCCCCCCGACAAATACTTCTTGAATGCCACTGAGTAGCAAATATTAAGTGAGGCACTGGAGTCATAAAAACTGATTTAAAGTGCCCAGGAAAGGAAATGTACTATAAGAGACTTAAAACAAAAGCTTGTACTTTCACTAACATGTACCATTGAAGAGACCCATTAAATAGATGTGATTCAGAAGATAATTTGTTTCTTCATTCAAGCATATTAAATATTGCTATGTATCAAAACACTGTGCTATGTTTTGAGGACATCCCAGTGAATAAGATAGTCTTTGAGGTAAGAGCCTGGATAATCATGGAGGAGACAGACTAACGAATGGTTGTGCTACCTGCTACTGGTATAAGCACCAGCGTGTGGGAGTGTGAAGGAGTGTCATTTAGCCTGGAGGCAATGGAAAGGGGATCCTGTCATACTTCCTGTCCTAGGATTTTGAATTTTTTTCATTCTGTGTGATAAAATAACTCCACTAGGGTCTTTGTGCTCACTAAGAATTTGTTCTTTCTCCAGACAGCTTGACATACTCAGTTACTCATAATAACCCTTGGAAAAAGTAAGTTTCCCTGGATGTGGTTTTTAAAACCAAATGGAAGGTTTTAATTTTCTCTTAGTTTGGATGTAAAAAAATGTATTTTTCATTCCTTACTATGAGTTCAGTAAATTCAAGGTGGCACTCTATTCTTTGTGTTGTTGTTTCCATTATTTTGAGCTTTTCCCTGAAACAAGACATTTTAATCAGAAAATAGGATTTATTATTGCTTTTAGCCTTTTCTATGGCTTATAATTTCTTTTGTGTCTTTAAAATCTCTGGTAGAACTGTATTTTGTGTTTAGCATCTTTACAGTGTTCAGTCTTGCTAGTTAGTGGCTCTACTTGCACAATTGCTTTGAGTACTAGGTTTAGCCAGTCACCTGAATTGAAACATTTGCTGTCAATCTTTACCTGTGTGACCTTGAACAAGTTATTGAGCCTCTACCTCAATTTCCTCTTCTGCAAATTGGGCATAATTACATGTTCTTTAAAGTATTAAGAATGGTACCTGGAACTTCCAAATAAGTATTACCTATTATTATTATTATTATTATTATTATTATTATTATTATGGAAATTACACTAGAATCATTGGCTCAGTTATTAGGTTGACTACTGCATTGGTTATCTACTGTTATGTATCTAATTACCCTAACACTTAACAGTGTAAAATGATACACATTTAGTTTCTCAGTTTCTGATTAGAAATCTGGCCATGGCTCTACTGCAGGGCATTTCACAAGATAGTAATCAAGGTATCTTACAGGATTGCCACCTTATCTGAAGACTTGAATTAAGGCAGATCTGCTTCCGAAGTCCTTAGTTGGCTTGTTAGTGAGCCTGGCAGAATTACCAGAGAGAATCTGCTGGCAAGATGGAAGTTATAAGCTGTAATCTAATTACAGAAATGATATCACATCACTTCTACTGTATTGTTTTTGTTAGAATCACATCACTAAATCCAATCCACACTCAAGGGAAGGGAATTATACAAAGGCATGAATTCTAAGAGGTAAGGGGCACTGGGAGCCATGTCAAAGCTGCCTACCCCACAACTGTAAAGCTTGGATTTCAGTTAATATATGTAATCAAGCATGTGGATATAGGAGTACATATAAATTAAAATACTGAAAATTTATTTCCTGGTGATGGCAGTGACTTGGTCTTGTTAAATAAAATGAAGTAAACTGATATGAAATGTAATTTTTGAATATTAGTTATTCTGGGTATTTTCAAAATTTTACAAAAACAAAGTTACTTGCGTAATGCTAATGAAATTAGCATTACTATTCCATAAACATAAGGAAAAATCTTCATTTCTGAGATCCTCATAGTTGTTGACTTAATCACAGATATGTCCTTTTGCTTTTTATTTATTTGTTCCAAATACATTCTGTATGCAATGTATGATTTCTCTTGTGTGTACCAAAAAACAATTGTTCAACATGTTTGTTTTGCGTTGTATCTTTATGGCAGTACTGGGGTTTGAACTCAGGGCCTCACACTGAGTAAGCAGGCACTTTACCACTTGAGCCACACTGCCAGCCCTGACATGTTTGTTTTGAACCCTTTTCTCTCTTGGGGATTGCATTCACAATGTCTGTTGGGAAATAAGTGTGATGCAACTTAAAGTTAATGTACCTTTTTATAACTTCTTCTGCTTCATAACTTTCTAATTATTACTCTTCTTTTAAGTGTCTTGCCCTTGCAAGAATAGTATTGAAAGGGGCTAGGGGTCTAGCTCAGTGTTATAGCACGTTCTTAGCATGTGTGAAGCTCTAGGTTCAACCCCCAGTACAAAAAAAAAAAAAAGAAAAGAAAAAAGAATAATAGTGAAAAGGGGCAGCTGGGGAGGGGGGAGATGAAACACTAACTTAATCTAATCTGTTTGTGAGATATAACTCATATTGTGATTATAGGGTTTTCAGAGAGACTTCTGAAACTGTATATTCTTAAAGACGGGTATATATTAGAAAATAACGTATGTGATAAATTTTCCATAAAAGGCACCTTTTGGTGGTGGGGGGTGGGGAACAGCTGTATGATTTTTTTTTCATTACTCAAAAGTTTTATCTGGTTTCAATTAACTACACTTTTGAAATTCTTCCTTAGTACTCCCTACCACCACCACCATTAAACACCTGGTCCAGTTAATATTGGTGGTGTGATCCCTGCTAAAGTGTTGAAATTTCAGTGTCTCTGGGCTACTCTAAAACAACAGTGCCTGCTTGCTTGAAGTTAGCATGACACGCTCCATTTGAGATACATTTGACAATCAAGCAAGGTTGTGTAAGCCAGAGTGTTGCAATCCCTAATCATTTTGCCAAAAATAAGCTAGCTGTTATGTTTTATAACATATGAAGTGTGATAATAAGAAACTTGTGTTTCCATCTCTTCTGCTATTTTTACTGGAATTTTTGACTCCCATAAGATTTTGAGACACAATTATAATTTGGTAGCTGGTTTGTTTGGTTTTATTTTGGTTTAGTTCTTCGCAATATTTTTGTGACTAGTTATAGTCAACTTTTCTTAAATCCTTTGAAGAGACTTTTTGCCTATGTTAAATGCATTGTCTGGCCTAATTTAATATACTGAAAAATAATTTCCTCTTTTAAAACTGATATTTATGATTTTTTATTCTTTTTTAAGCAAATTAAAACTAGAAATTCATCACATATTTTGACAGTAGTATTCAGATAGGGAATTTTAAAAGAAAATAGTTAACTGGAGGACTATTAAGCAGTAACTGTCATGACTCATAATAATAAACAGAATTGCTTTTAGACTCATAGGATCTGAGGTAGGCTTTAGCAACAACCTAGCCCCATCTTTCATTTTACAGATAAGAAGCAAGAGAAAGGTAGCTTGTGAGGATTCAGCCTTGGCTCTGTCTGAATCGTGGGATGAGGTACATGTCTATTAGTTATGGGGATAAAGAGTGTAAGAGGGTATCTGATGGCCGCTCAATCTTTGGATGATAACAGGCTCAGATATTACAGTATGCCCCTGCAGTATACATGACTAGATTTATGTGACTCTTGTTGCAGCTCAAGAAGTAAGAGGCCTGCAAATGCTCTAACAATTTGGAGGGAGGGGAAACAGATGACATGAAACAAGAACGAAAGTCTTATCCTCACCATCTAGGATCTGCTTTCTCTCATCAATCCTCTGTATATAAAAATGGGCCGTCAGATTTTGCCAGTAAATCATTTCCATGAAGTATAGGATGAGAAGTTACCTGGGCTCTATACTGAGTTATGGTTGAACTTCATGTAATTTAACTTCTATTTTTCTCTAAGAGTTTATATAGCATTTAATGATGATATTCCCTCCTTTCCACACACTTAAGATTTTATATTATTTGGCCTTCCTTGGGGAAAGTGCACAGTAATATAAAGTTTTCTTTGTCCATCTGGTTGGCAAAACTATCTTCTCTCTAAGTAAAACTTCTAGATTGCTTAAACTCCTTTAAGTGTAAAACTCTTTTGTCCAATTGAATAAGTCTGTCTAAAATACAGACTTATCCTCGACAATGCATTTTGACTGCTGAGGAATTTTTTCTTACTGACTCAAGGACGGTGATAACACTGTAATTTCTTTTTTTTTTTTTTTCTGTGAATTGAGATAGTTTTATTTCTTATTTTATTTTTATTTTTTTTTATTTTTCTTTTATTATTCATATGTGCATACAAGGCTTGGTTTATTTCTCCCCCCTGACCCCACCCCCTCCCTTACCACCCACTCCACCCCCTCCCGCTCCCCCCCTCAATACCCAGCAGAAACTATTTTGCCCTTATCTCTAATTTTGTTGTAGAGAGA